GATCCCAGCTCTTCATATCATAAACATTGCACGATCTCACATGAAGAGGCTATTAGGACTAGTTAGTCTGTCGCCAGCCTAAGAACAAGAGAGGCATTCTGTTGTCTGCCCTGGGGCTTCTATTACTGACCGCTGCCTCTTCGCTTCAGGCTTGAAGTTAATTTCTCGATTAAGACGCTATAAGGAGCCACAGTTCATTTTAGACTTTTTATACGTTATACATCTATGCCATATTGACCCACCTAAAGTAGTCCTTCGTGAGCCTCAGCACTTTTTAATGCGCGAGTTGAACTGACTAACTCCGTCCGCATGTTTCTTCCCCTTGTCCTTGGCATGCAGCCTCCTCTTCGTCCACTTCCCCCATCTCTCTTCTTGGCTCATGCCGGCCTAATGCATTCGGACACCTAATCACTTGGATACATAAACTAATCCGCTTCTGCCATGGCCTCTGCACTCCCGACTTACCTTCGCCCTTTTGTATCTCGGGCACGACTGGTGCATCACTTGGATACGGCGAGCTCAACTGTACCGTTCGCATTGGAGACGAGGGGAAATAGCAAAAGGTCAGGCCCAGAAATATAAAGTAAATGAGGACATGCCACCGGGCGGTTTTGCAATTAAGGCTATAGTTAAAGCTTAGAAAGGTTAAAATTAGGCAGATAATGCGAACAGGAAGAAACCGTCGGTATCCCATGCATGTCCTCGTCCGAAGGCAGAGCTCATGCCGACCGGGTCAAACGAAGTTCTGGCGAAACTGGCCAATACTTTTGAGTGAGTCTGTGCGCGTAGTACAGCAACCCAAACTTCGTGACCCGATACTTGACCTTTAGCCAACTCCCTAAAACGAGGGCCCTTGGACACATTCTTAAGGAAGAGGGCAATTGATATTTGCAGCAAATCAACACGACGCCGAAATGAGCCTGTCGTTAGGACACGAGATGTTATAGAGATTTATCCAGAGGACTCGATACCCTAACGACTAGTGTATATTCGTCTCCCTCGAGTCAAGTCTTTACCTTTACTGTTCACTTCGCCAGACACTTACGATAACGGCGAAGGTGTCCACCTTCTGAAAATCACTCAACTGTTTATCACAGCACCGATTAGCCTTGTCATACGGCCATGTATCAAGTGCCTCACATTTGTACCCGAGTTAAGCAAGATTTTGGGAATCTATCCGGAGATATTGAATAAGGTGAAGAAGGACTAAGGAACCAATATACGCTTGGTTTAGTAAGGTAATGTAGGGTTTCTTGATCTGATGATGTCTGTCACATGGCAGACGAAAGTTGAGTACGGATT